TCTCCCTAAGCCAGTGATCACTTATGCTCTGCTTTCTACTTGTAAAATTGTGTTGCTATTTCTTGGATTGATTTTTTAAAAATCATTTTTTAAACCATAGTTTTAATGCAGTTCTATGGGAAGTAAAATTAAATGTTTAATCCATACTGTTAACTTGGAAATCTCCTTATTTCTGTGAAGTTTATGGACTCATCTTTCATATAGGTATTTGATATTCGATTGTATTTAAATTTTCAGTAAATAGGAATTTTGATATGCTTATTGTGTTTTGTTTTAAAAGTAACATGTACTTACTGTAAAAAATTTGAAAATATATTGAAGTCTAAACAAAATAAAAATTATAATTCTTATAATTTTTTTCAATTTTTATAATTTGTGGTTATTATTTTTAATTATTTTACTCTGTAATCTAGATGAAGTTCTTTTGGATGTATGATGTAAGGGAAAGCTATACTTTGATTTTATTTCTCTTCCAAGTAGTTAACCGATAAAGAAATCCAAACCTAGTCACTAAATAATTCCCCATTTAACTGTTTTGTGATGACAGTTTATTTTTACTGTATTTTAGATTCTTCATATATACTCATGGTATATTCTGAGTTATTTAATTTGTTTATTGAGTTTTCTATTCTCACATCTCATTACTTTTTAAAAATGCCAGCTTTAAACTGTTTTACTCCCCGAGGACAGAGCTCCAATGATTTAAATCTTCTCAGAAGAGTTTTAGGAATTTGCCACATTACCACATAAAGCCTTACCCATAAGAATTTGACTGGTATTGCATTAGACGTAGAAACAGATTAGAAGCTTGGCATCGTGGGGTGTGCCTGTGGTCCCAACTACTCAAGAGGTTTGCTTGACACCAGAAGTTCTAGGTTGTAACGAGCTATGATTGTGATGTGAATAGCCACTGCATTCCAGCCTCAGCAACATAACAAGACCCCATCTCTAAAATAGAGTAAATAATTGTTTTCTTTTTTGTGTATGTAGTCTTGCCCTCTATGAACATTGTATTTCTGACCATTTATTCAAGTTATTTATAGTAATTCATCATTATTTCATAGTTCTCTCTATATACATCTCTCTCATATTTTAATAAGGCTATTTCTAGATATTTCAGGCTTTTGTTTTTTCATAATGGATGATAAATTTTTCATTATGTTTTTAGACATTTTTTTTTTTTTTGACAGACAGCCTCACTCTTGTTGCCCAGGCTGGAGTGCAATGGCGCGATCTCAGCTCACCACAATCTCTGCCTCCCAGGTTCAAGTTATTTTCCTGCCTCAGCTTCCTGAGTAGCTGGGATTACAGGTGCCTGCCACTATGCCTGGCTAATTTTTTTGTATTTTTAGTAGAGATGGGGTTTCGCCATGTTGGCCAGGCTGGTCTCGAACTCTTGATCTCAGATGATCCACCTACCTTGGCCTGCCAAAGTGCTGGGATTACAGGCATGAGCCACTGTGCCCAGCCTTTGACTTGTCATTACCACAATACAGGCAAATGCTTTTAAAATATTCATTTTGTAGCTAGCCAGATTTCTGAACATTCTCTCTTGGTTTTCCTCTTAATTTACTCATTTATTTTTCTCTAGGTATGTAATGATATTCTCTGCAAATAATAATTTTGTGTCTTTCTCTCCAATGTTTGTTTCATTGCTAGGCAGGACTTCCACACAATGTTAAACAATAATAGTGCCTCTGTATTTTTAAAATATTTTTTTAGTTATATTTTGTTTTGAATTAAACATTTAAAAGTTATTTTGTGCATAAATTTTACGAACATTTTTCATTACTAATCTAAATCTTATCAATATGATGTAACATTTCTTTCCCATTTAATGAGTCTAAAATTTATGTTTTCTGATATTGATGTTATTCCTGATTTGTGCTAATATGCATTTGCTTAATATATTTCTTTGTCTATCCCTTTATTTTTAAACTTTCTATGTTGTTTTAAGGATAGTGTGGAATTAAGAAATTGGAATATTTCTTAATTTTTAAAAATCTAAAAATACTGTGGAGTTAGGAATAGGAATTCTTAACTCCATATTGTTATATGACAAAATAGGGACATTTCTTAATTCCACAGTATTTTTTGATTTTTAAGAATTAAGTGCTTAGGCCAGGCGTAGTGGCTCACGCCTGTAATCCCAGCACTTTGGGAGGCTGAGGTGGGTGGATAATGAGGTCAGGAGTTTGAGACCAGCCTGACTGACATGCTGAAACCCTGTCTCTACTAAAAATACAAAAATTACTGGGCATAGTGGTTTGTGCCTGTAATTCCAGCTACTTAGGAGGCTGAGGCAGAAGAATCACTTGAACCTGGGAGGTGGAGGTTGCAGTGAGCTGAGATTGCACTACTCTGCTCCAGCCTGGGTGATAGAGTGAGACTCTCTCTCAAAAAAAAAAAAAAAAAAGCTATGAATCTGTAGGTTCTAGCTCTGGGAAATTCTGGATAAAATGGAGTTAGCAGTTCACCTGCCTCAGGTGAGATAATGTAAAACTAGAAAGGTCCAAATCATTGTGATGTCAAATTGAATCTATTTATCAAAACAGCACCCAAATGCAATATGTTCAAAAAACTTACAGTGTTAGGTAATATGGTTACATAGACAAGATTAAAAACATAGGCCAGGTGTGGTGGCTTGCACCTGTTATCCTAGCATTTTGGGAGGCCAAGGTGGGAGGATCACTTGAGGCCAGGAGTTCAAGACCAACCTGGGCAACATAGTAAGACCTCATCTCTATAAAATATATATATATATATAAATGTGGCCGGGCACAGTGGCTCATGCTTGTAATCCCAGCACTCTGGGAGGCCAAGGTAGGAGGATCACGAGGTAATCCTGTAGTCCCAGCTACTCAGGAGGCTGAGGCAGGGGAATCACTTGAACCGGGAGGCAGAGGTTGCAGTGAGCCAAGATCTCGCCACTGCATTCCAGCCTGGCAACAGAGTGAGACTCTGTCTAAAAAAAAAAAAAATATATATATATATATATAAAATATAAAAATACACATAATGTATAAAGATATATATAATATATAAATATAATATAAAGATATTTATATATATATATATTTGTACATGTTAACTTGGAGTGAGGGGTGCAGGGAGGGCGGAAAGGAGAAAGTCATAATATTAAGCATCGGTAAACAACTCTAGAGCTGGGCACTGTGATTCATGCTTGTGATCCCAGCTGCCTGAGAGGCTGAGGCGGGAGGATTGCTTGAGGCCAGGAGTTCAAGACCAGCCTTGACAACATAGTGAGACTCCCTCATCTCTGAAACAACAACAAAAAGTTAATTAAAAATTAAAAGAAAATAAAACTCCATAGCAGTCTTCTTCTGGAAAAGAAGTCCCAAAGCCACTTGCCACTGACACAGAGGTATGCAGAGCCTGAGGAACAGAGTCATAGGAGCTCTGTATATTGATCTTATTCCTGGCTAAAAGATATTTCTGAAAGAAAGGAGCCTGGAGCGTCTCTGTTTGTGAATTCATTTTTCAGGGGTGGGGTGATTTCAAGAGCCCAGGCTGTTTCCTGACTGTGCACACTGAGCCAGCCTGGAAGCCTCAGGCCCCAGCCAGGCTGACCACGAGCCAGACCCGGAGTAAGCTTCGTCCCACGCTTCCTGTTGGTCCAGGCAGCCTGAGTTTCCTGGTGACCCTTCCCTGCACCCAGCTGATTCAAAGGCCTGGCAAGACCTGGTGCCAGCCAAGAAAATCTCAGGCGGCCAGGTTTGTTATTTCAAATCTCTAAACCTTCAGACCTCTGGGCTTGGTTTATATATGTGAAAGCTAAAACAAGGATGTGTGTCATGGTGGTGATTATAATTCAAGTCTGACCAGCCTTCAAATGTCAGCCCATGCTGAATTTCACAAATTTAACTCATATAACAAAATAATTAACATGAGTGGATGTAAAATGGTACTGCCATGCTAGAAAACAGCTTGGCAGTTTTTTGTAAATTTAAACATACACTTACCATAAGACCAGCAATCACCCTCCTGGGTATTTATCCCAGAGAAAAACAATTTATATTCATATAAAATATTGTACATAAATTATTATAACAGCTTTATTTGTAATAGTCATGTATCAATCAGGATCCTCCAAAGAAATAGGGCCAATAAAAGATATATATATATGTATAATAAATCATATGTATAAATCATATATATAAGAAGCTATATATCTATACACACACATATATATCTCTCTCTCAGGGTTCTCCAATGAAATAGAAAAAATAGGATCTATATATACATAATAAATCATGGCCAGACATGGTGGCTCATGCCTGTAAACCGAACACTTTGGGAAGCCAAGCCAGGAGGATCATTTGAGTCCAGGAGTTTGAGACCACCTGAGAAGCATAGTGAGGCCCTGTCTCTACAAAAAAAAATTTTTTTATTAGGCAGGTGTGAGCCAGGCACAGTGGCTCATGCCTGTAATCCTAGCACTTTGGAAGGCTGAGGCAGCAGATCTCCTTGAGCTCAGAAGATCAAGACCAGCCTGGGCAACAAGGTGAAACTCTGTCTCTACAAAAAATGCAAAAATTAGCCAGGCATGGTGGCACATGCCTGTGGTCCCAGCTACTCAGGAGGCTAATGCTGGAGAATTGCTTGAACCCAGCAGGTGGAGGTTGCACTGAGCCAAGATCACACCACTGCACTCCAGCCTGGGTGACAAAGTGAGACCCTATCTCAAAAAAAAAAAAAAAAAAAAAAATAGTATCCAGGTGTGGTGGTGCGCACCTGTGGTCCCAGCTGCTCAGAAAACTGAGGTGGGAGCACTGCTTGAGCCTAGGAGGTTGAGGCTGCAGTGACCCATAATCACACCATTGTACTCAAGCCTGGGTGACAGAGCAAGACCCTCTCTCAAAAAAAAATATATATATATGTGCATAGGAAATTATATATATTGATCTATAGAGATAATATGTATATAATAAATCACATATATTTATAATATATACATTTATTATAAAGAGTTGACTCACGTGATTATAGAGGTTGATAAATCCTAAGATGTGCAGTCAGCAAGTTGAAGACCAAGGAGATGGATGCTGTCATTCTAGTGCAAAGGCCAGCAGGCTGGATACCCAGGAAGAGCAGGTGTTTTGGTTCTAGTCCAAAGGCAGGAAAAAAACTGATGTCTCAGCTCAAAGGTAGTCAGGCAGGAGGGATTCTCTGTTATTCAGGGAAAAAGTCTTTTTGTTCTATTCAGGCCTTCAACTGATTGGATGAGGCCCACCCACCTAAGGGAGGGCAGTCAGCTTTATTCATTCTATTGACTTGGATGTTAAACTCACCCAGAATCACCCTCACAGAATCAACTATCAGGGCACCCCATAGCCCAGTCAAGTTGACACATAAAATTAACCATCACAAGTCAAAAATTGGAAACAGGCCAAATGTCCCACAACAAGTGAACAGATAAACACATTATGGTATATCCATTCAATGAAGTAACTCAGCAATAAAAGGCAATGATCTATTGATCCATGCAACAATGTGGATGGGGCTCAGGGCTTTTTGCTGAGTGTAAAAAGCCAATCTCAAAAGGTCACATACTGGCAGGGCACAGTGGCTCACACCTGTAATCCCAGCACTTTGGAAGCCTGAGGCGGGCAGATCACAAGGTCAGGAGATTGAGACCATCCTGGCCAACATGGTGAAACCCCATCTCTACTAAAAAAACAAAAAATTACCTGGGTGTGGTGGCACATACCTGCAGTCCCAGCTACAGGCTGGGACTGAGGCAACTACAGGCTGAGGCTGAGAATCACTTGAACGCAGGAGGCGGAGCCTGCAGTGAGCCGAGATTGTGCCACTGCACTCCAGCCTGGGTGACATAGCAAGACTATCAAAAAAAAAAACCCACATACGGTCTGATTCCATTTATTTTTTTTTGAGATTGAAGTTTCACTCTGTCACCCAGGCTGGAGTGCAGTTGCACGATCTCACCTCACTGCAAACTCTGCCTCCGTGGTTCAAGCAATTCTTGTGCCCTGGCCTCCTGAGTACTTGGAATTACAGACATGTACCACCATGCCCGGCTAATTTTTGTATTTTTAGTAGAGGCAGGGTTTTACCATGTTGGCCAGGTTGGTCTCAAACTCTTGACCTCAAGTGATCTGCCTGCCTCGGGCTCCCAAAGTGCTGGGATTACAGACATCAGCCACCATACCTGATCCTGTATGACATTCTTGAAGTGACGAAATTCTAGAATGGGAGAATAGATCTGTGGTTTCAGGGTTATGGTTGGAGGAAGGATGTGACTGAGGGGTAAGAGGAAGGAATTTCCTTTTTTTTTTGAGACGGGGTCTCGCTCTGTTGCCCAGGCTGGAGTGCAGTGGCACAATCTCAGCTCACTGCGACCTCTGCCTCCCAGGCTCAAGCAGTCCTCTCACATAGCTGGGACTGCAGGAGCATGCCACCAGGCTCAGCTAATTTTTGTGTTCTTTGTAGAGATGGGGTTTCACCATGTTGCCCAGGCTGGTCTCAAACTCCTGAGCTCAAGTGATCCACCTGCTTCGGCCTCCCAAAGTGCTGGGATTACAAGCATGAGGCACCATGCCCAGCCCCAGGAAGAAATTTCTTGGTGGTGATGGAATACTTCTGTATTGTTATTGTGGGGATGGTTACTTGACTCTATGCATGTGATAAAATTTCATAAAACTTGTCCAGGTTACAGTGGCCTGTAATCCCAGCACTTTAAGAGGCCAAGGTGAAAGGATCACTTGAGGCCAGGAGCTTGAGGTTATAGTGCGCTATGATTGTGCCACTTTTCTTCAGCCCGTCTCAAACATTTTTTTTTCATAGAATTACATACCAAAAGAAAAAGATGAATGTCTCTTTGGTGTGTATCTATGATATTTCCAATACTGCTTTTGAGACTTTATACACATTACATGCAGTATTGATAGTAACAGCCCAGGTGCAATGGCTCACACCTATAATTTGAGCACTTTGGGAGGCCAAGACAGGCGGATCACTTGAGTCCAGGCGTTCGAGACCAGCCTGGGCAACATAGTGAGACCTCAGTTCTACAGGAAAAGAAAAAAAAAAAAAAAATTGGCTGGGTGCAGTGGCTCACGCCTGTAATTTTAGCACTTTGGGAGGTGGAGTTAGGTGGATTGCCTGAGCTCAGGAGTTCAAGACCAGCTTGTGCAACACGATGAAACCCCATCTCTACTAAAATACAAAAAAAATCAGCTGGGCGTGGTGGTGTGCACCTGTAATTCCAGTTACTTAGGAGGCTGAGGCAGGAGAATTGTTTGAACCTGAGAGGCAGAGGTTGCAGTGAGCCAAGATCACACCATTGCACTCCAGCCTGGGCGACAGAGCATGACTCCGTCTCAAAAAAAATAAAGAAAAAAAGGTGGTGTGTGCCTGTAGTCCCAGCTACTTGGGAAACTGAGGTAGGAGGATTGCTTGAGCCTGGGAGGTCAAGGCTATAGTAAGCCAAGATTGGGTCACTGTACTCCAGCCGGAGCGACAGAGTAAGATTCTGTCATGAAAAATAAAAATAAAAATAAAAACAAACCAGACAGACAGTAATATTAGGAATAAACACTATTATCCCATTTTATAGTCAAGGAAACATACTGAAAGAGTGTAATCACCACAAAATCACATAGCTGGTAAGTGGCAAAACCAGGACTTAAACCAAATCTACCTGACTCTAAGGTTTTGGGCCTTTCTCATATAGCCTGCTAACATGTACACAAGCTCAACAAATTGGGCTTCCATCCTTCCCATGATAGATCTTTCTAGCCCTGATGTTCTCACTGTGTTTTCTGTAGTCCCTGGATAAACACAGAAAGTCCTGCTCTGTGAAGAGGCCATAAAAATTAGCAGAGATGAAGCATTGGAGAGCAAACTCCAGGACAAGTCCAGACAGACAGATGGCTCAGCCCAAGGTCAGGGTCCTCCTAATACCTCACTTGAAGTCAGACGGCAGGCTGGGCATGATGGCTCATGCCTGTAATCCCAGCACTTTGGGAAACCGAGATGAGTGGATCACCTGAGTTCAGGCGTTCGAGACCAGCCTGGCCAATATGGTGAAACACTGTCTCTACCAAAACACTCAAAAAAAATAGCCCAGTGTTGTGGCATCCATCTGTAGTTCCAACTACTCAGGAGGCTGAGGCAGGAGAATCCCTTGAACCTGGGGGATGGAGTTTGCAGTGAGCCAAGATCACTCCATTGTACTCCAGCCTAGGTGACAGAGCAAGACTCTGTCTAAAGAAAAAAAAAAAAGAATTTAGATGGCAACCAACTTTCCAAGGGCATGTGTCTCTGGGATCCCTCCCCTGACTCTCCAGGCTAAGCTGTGGACCGCTCTTCCATGCTCCCACATCAGCAGGATTTACCTTTATCAAGGACTTAACATACAGTTCTAGAATCACCAATGTATAATTTGTTGATTCGAGAGCCTCCCACAGACCTTGACCTGGGTAGAAGCCCAGTAAGTGTTTGCTGGGTGAATGAAGGAACTGCAAGAATTTTTTTTTTTTTTTTTTTTTTTTTT